GAGCGAGGCGGGGGGGATGGTAGCAAGTCTCCAAATTAAAGGTTTCGTAGGGATCCAGGGATAAAACATCACCACCTCTGGCAGACACGCAGCGATCCCGGGTGCGGATTTGCACCCAAGCGTCTCTGTGTGCGCTGCAGCGCGCGGGTGGATGCGCTGAGGCGCAGGAGGTACGTTTAGAGCAAACTCTTTGAGGCAAGATCTTTCTGAATGTGTTGTGAAGAGACTAGCCTGTTTTAGAAGCTAAATAAAAAATCAGGTTTTGGGGTACTGGGGAGGCCACGCGTGTGTTTGATTTATATCTTGCAAATTCCATGTAATGTGAATGGACTAGAAGGGGAAGAAGACCGCCAGGAAATAATACAAAAATCAAGCTCAGTAAGAGTCAGATTTTCAGATTTATCAAATAGTGACTGAAAAAGAAATGGTGGCCTCCACAGTTTGTACTGAGGGAGACCTGCCTTGCTGTGTCTTAGCCTGCTCAATGTTTTTTAGGCAGGTGCTGAAGTGTTTTACTCTATTTGTAGAGGTAAGGTAAGGAAACAAACGGACCCCTCGGGTATCAGTTAAATTCAATACTTCTGGTGGAGAGAAGACCTGAGATCACATTTGTAGGAAATGTTATGCTTAATATAGTGGTGTTAAAGGCTTTTAAACTACTCTTGATTTAGCATTTGACCCAAGAGACGTTTCCAGGATGGAGACAGCAGTTCTAATGCATTCGTATGGTTTCAGCTTGAGAGCAAGTGAAGAACTCTGGCTTTTCTCTGGCAACCTTGTATGTGAAAAATGTTAATGATTAACATGAAATGTAGGTGCGGTATTAAGTATATGTGGTTTTAGATATACGGAAATGGAGGCCTACCCAAAAATAGGTCCTGATGAACTCGTCACACGTTGAGGATTGCTGACTGATGAGCAGAAACTCAAATATGGAGAAACACAGAGCAGTAATGGTTTCGGAGCATTTCAAATGCTCCTTACTTGCATGGGTTTTTTGTTCATAAAAGCAGTAGCTTTTTTCTGTTTTCTTTGCGTAAGTTTGTGTAGCATTTTCACCTTCTGATTTGATTTGCTTGTGGCCAAAGTATTAGATTTGGCTTGATTTGGCTTGTGGCCAAAGTATTAGATTTTCTTCTTTTTTGAAGAAAAGTAAGAACAAGGAGGTGTTTGAACACTGCGGCGAAGATCATGAAGAGCGTGAACTGACCAGAGCTTTTGTCAAAATAAGACAGGGACATGTTTGTTTATTGCTACAGCAGCATGAGACCTTTGTAGGCAGTATTTTTTGTAACTGGTAATGACTTCTTCAAATAGATATTTTCTTCCTCATCTGCAGTCGTGATAACTGCAAATGATGTTATGCACTTGTATTACTATAACCAGTTAAAGGCATATCTACGCTTTAATCCATTGAGTTTTTATGAAGACTTGCATTTAAAAAGTGGATTTTTATGTTTGTGGACATTGGCAGTACTAGCAAATGCAATTGGCTTCTGGTGTTATTTGTCAGCAAAATGTTTCCATTTTAGAGTTGGAATGAATGGATTTTAGTAGGAGACTGAGAACAGTCACGCTTTTCATTGGTAGCTTCATCCAAAAAAAACCCCAAAACATTTTGCCCACTTAGGCTGTCTCAACATTTATTTTTCAAAAATATTTACTCATCTGCTAGGATATTACAGCTGTTTTCAAGGATGCAGGCTCATCTACACTGAAGAACTCCTAGATCACCGTGGTTGTGTTTGTTAATTTGGCATAGTCCAGTTAAATTGGTGCGACTACTTTGTCCGTAAAAGGCCTGTGCTAATATACTTAATTTTTATTTCATTTCTCATTTGTTAAATCTTGGCAATACTATTATTGCGTACTTCATAGCAGAACATAATCCTCCTGAAAAATAAGAGCGGTGCTTGCTTTTGTGTAATTTACGTTTTGAGTTGATACTCCCTCTCCTCTCAGAACAGGCTTTAAGCTTAGAGTCGTTGCTGCTGCATTCCTAATCACACATTTAGTTTTATTACAGTGGTGTCCAAAGTGGCCATTATAGTTAATTGTACTTTTTCTGTCTTAAAAGATGATTGAATCTATCCACCAAAATGCCGGTGGGCTGGAATTATGTGTAGCAATTTTCTGTGTAGAAGTAACAAACCCTTGGAAATCCCATATATGACAACCCTTGAATTGTATGCAGAAGCAATCCGCTCCCCTGGATTTGGAACAACTGTTCCAAATCTAGCAATTGTTGTTCCAAATCTAGCAATAATGATTTCCTTCTGGAAATTGTTCTTTAAACACATTTGGTGGGGAACTGCAGAAAACTTGTCATTATTCAGGAAGCAGCCTGTGTATTAAAATGCGTAACTCTCGAGTAGCCCGCAGGGAGAGAGGTTCCTTGTGATGCATCTCTTACCTCCCTGACTGAAACTTCATAATGGAAAATAACACATGGCATTGCATCTACCCGCTGGAGGGAATACACAAGGTTTATGCAAAGAAAGTATCTTCCTTGTAGCACACTATGACTGGTGTGTTGGTGTTCTGTGGCATTTCTTAAGTGGGAGGTTTGACCAACCTGCTGGATTTCCAGTTTGTCCGATACATTAACGTCATTCATTGGAACTTGTTTAGCATAAACAGAAACAGTGTTGGTTAATACGATATCAACTCATCTACCCCCTTTCATTTGTGAGTTAGTATTTCAAAAATATTAATGTCAATTTAAAATTCATCAGCATTTTAAAAAAACAATCCAGGCTACAGTGCTACTGTAAACTTACACAGTCAAGGCTGTGCACTCCAGCAACTTTCGCATCCTTTAGAAAGGAAAAGCTCCTTTTTAAGCAGAAGCAAATGCTAAGCAGCACACATCCCAGCTGGTGCTCTTTAACCCAAGTGTTTAGCTAGAGATGGGTTTGCATTGTTGCGCGTAGGCTATTTGCATTAGGTTCATAGTGCTTCTATTCATTGTATGGAGGAGGATCAAGACAGGTGGAAAAAGGAGGAGGAGTGGTGAAAGTTGAATGAGATAGATACCCAGAAGCCAAACTTCTTTTTTTTAATTTTGCGTTTTATTTGATTAAATAGACTGTTGTGTCTTTTGTGCTCCTGTGAATACGTGCCCATCTGCTCTAGCATGCTTGTAGTTACTCCTGGTGCCTGTTCAGCTGTTGGCATGTTCAGCACAACTGAAATTCTCCATCAGCTGCCCCGTCCTCCTCCAAAGACAAATAAAGGTCAAGCTAAATCTCAAAAGCAGCTAGGCGTACAGCTGTCAATCAGATCTTGAACTTGATGAAGCTTTCATGCTCTGCTATAAAAGCAAGTTTAATTTTAGTGCTTTTTAAATTTTATTGATACTTGGGAATTGTGTACCTTCAAATTCTGCCCACAGCTGGTTTGATTTAGCTTAGCTTTAAAAAGTAACTGTCTAAGGAGACTCTTGGAGGGGTTCTTCCTTAAAGTGATTGCTGCAGTGGAGCGTGGCTCAGAAAGATAACTTCCTAGCGAAATGAGAAGGGAAAAAATCTATAAGCGAGTTGAAAGCTTTTATTGAAGTTATATAAGCATATTTATAGAAATACTTGAACTCTTGTGGTTGTTGCTAGGAAACATTTGTAAAGGAAACGTACAGTGATGGCCAGACTCAACTATTTAGCGCTCTGGTTAAAACTCGGGTATTTTCTGAGGTGTATCTAATGTTCAGGATGTGTTGGGATTCTTCTTATTTAGGTGTATTGAAAATACTGACGCAGCAAAGAAAAACAGGGATGTTTTAGTTATTTTAAAAATCAGTAGGTTGTATTACACCTGAGGATACAAATGAATAGCAAATGAGAATCGACCAAGGGCTTGATTTTTATGCTATTGGAATCTATCGGAGTTCTGTTGTTGATTTCCATGGGAAGCAGGGTAATCCATCAGCTGGGATCCGTGATCACTTCTGCTGAAAACTGAAAGGTATCTTTGTTTTCAGACTGGGAATCTGCAATTAGAGTGGGTGTGCTGGATTGTGGGGAAGAAGAGAACTATGAGACGTGCAAAGAATATGGTATTCACTATTATCCAACTTTTAGGGTAAGTGGCATAATATATTGCCTTAGGTACATGATGCATGCTTTATAGTAAGTGAAACTGTAACAAACATGCTTGCGCAGAGTGTTACATGTAACTCGTTGTTCTTTAGCTGGACTTTTACTTTGCTTTCGCTGAGAAAACTGCAGAGTTGATAAATTTGAGTTCTTGCTGAACGCAATAGCTGATGCAGTTATTTATAGCAGGAATTCAGTCCTCAGTTCTGAATCTGAAAAATTCTTATTGAAAGAAGGTACCATTCTAGAAAATACTATGTTGTTAACATTTATATAACAACTAGTTTTAATATTTTTGTTAGATACTAACAATTTGTATAAATATTTTTCAAATTCAAATGTTCATGATTATTAATAGTGGGTTTAGTTTTGGTATGTGAAAGTAAAGGTAATACTTTGAAACTGCATCATGAAATCAGCTGATTTCATGACCAATTAAAAATTTACCCTTGATTGATCCTTCACTATTTTTCTAACTAATTTCATAATTTGCTTAAAGTGGCTTTTAAAAGGGATCTTGTGTTTGCCAGAAGTATCTACCATTGCTCATTTTCAGGTCTAAGTCCAATTTTTAACTTCTCTGTCTTTGTCAATCTGTATAATCACATTATTAACCGTAAGTATGAGCAGAATGTGATGGATGGAGAGGATTGAATAAACTGTTATGACAAGAAAGGCAACAGGGAACGTTTCACTGTAGAATTTGTGATGTTCTACCCTGATAGACAACAATATTTTTTTTACTCTTTAAAGTTTTGGATGTAAATTGGAATGCACTCTTTATTAGGCACTGAATCTTTTCGATTTTATTTTTTATAGCCGAAGGCAGTCAAGCTCCATTATATATCCTGTTTAACCACTGGAGGGAGTTGAGAAAATCTGAATAGTCTTCTAAGTATATATACAGTTGGTAGTACTGATTTGGTAATGAGTTAATTTGTGTTTGGGTTAATGTTTGCAGTAATGGATCGATATACAATTATGCGTTATGGTATTTTTCCTCTAAAAGTTGGCTTTATTGTATATCAGAGTTTCGACTGGTACAGACGAGCTACCCTCAAATAGTTGAGAAGCGGGTCTTTGGACCTCATAGGCTGAGAGGGAAAACTGTCTTCTGAACAGATAGATAAAAATGTTCTGTAATTAGAGCTGTAAAAAGTAAAAACTCTTGAAAGCCATTTTTGTTTCTAAACTGAGCTTTCGTCTGATACAGCGAGTTATTTTCAAAGCAATAATACTGGGTTTTTTTTTTCCCCACACAGTACTTCAAAGCATTTACAAAGCAGTTTACTACTGGAGAAAATTACAAAGGTAAGAATATCCTACTGTAAGAAATCCCCAAAGCAGTTATCCTATCAGCCAGGAATGTGTCATGCAATAAGCAAAATCCCTTTGCCTGTCAATTAGTTTAGACAGCTGGAGATGGGATGGACACTGAATAGCTCTTTAGAATACAATATTATAAGTACTGTATGAAAATGGAATGTCAGGCAGAATTTTAGACAGGCAAAACATTTGTACAAGAACTTAGGGCTCATATTCTTCATTTTTTTGAAATGTAGTTCTTAATTTTCACAAATGGCTAGATAATTTTTTAAAATTCCTTTTTTTCCACCACACCCCTCATCAGCATGAGATCCATTTTGCTCAGTCCTGAGTGTGGTACTTTTTGGTCCGTCAGCCACTTTCCAGGCACCCTGAATCTCACTGGGAGAACCCGTATTCAGATGTTGACTGAAAAGGGCTCATTCTGTGTGTCTGACAGGATCACAGCTTGAGGTGGTTTGTCTGGGGACAAAAGTAATGTTGTCTTTTTCAATGGATTAACATTTAAAAGGCCAGAGGTCAGAAGAGAGACCACCTGCACCATTAACCCTTCCTGTAGAAGTAGACCGTAGTTGTACCTGTTACTTTTTGGCATTTGTGAGGGTTTCTGCTTTTTAATTTATTTCTTTTAAAGCGAATAAAATATTCTCACACTTCAGTTATTTCCTCATATTGTTACGTGGCTTGGTAACCTCACCTGGCCCATTTGGTAAGAATGGTACACCTTTGCAGTTTTTAATGCATGATGAATATCCTTATTGCAGAAAAACTACTGAAGTTGCCCACGCTAACTATTGTGAAAATGAGCACAGGTTTAGAATGAAGCATTTTGAAGAAAAAATCAGCAAGGCAGGCAGATGGTTAGATTTGGAAAAGTCTGGAGGTTTTATTAATTTTGGGGTGGGATGACAGCTTTTAAATATGATCTCATCTCAATATTAAAATGAAACCTTACAACTAAATCCTTAGTCCCTGTTCTTCAACCAAATAGTATTCTGTTCTTTAAGTCCAAATTTAGAACAAAAAGCTGACACAGAAAAGCATGAGAATGTATGAAAACCTGCATGTGAGTCATTTCTTCCCGGTTTTCTGAAGTAGTGTGGGTTTTTTGTAACCTGTACTCAGCAGGAGCAGATCGAGAGCTGCAAACAGTTCGTCAGATGATGATTGACTTCTTACAGAATCATTCCCAAGAATTGAGACCGCCCGCTTGCCCGCCCTTGGATCCAGTTTCGTAAGTTCCTTGTTTAAAGTACAGCTGGTGTATACTTACTATATTAATTAAATAAAATGTAAAAGGTCCTATTAAAGACAAAGTAAGATTTTTTTTCTTATTATCAGTTCTGCTATGAGATTGTAAAAGGAAACACCCACATAACAGTGGGTGTATTGCATCCTACCTGTGCTAAATAGCTTTTCTTTTCCTAAAAGGTCCAGTGATATTACTTCTCTTTTTGACAAGAACAGCCATCATTATACTGCCATTGTGTTTGAAAGTAATAACTCCTATGTTGGACGAGAGGTAATGTATGACTTATGAATGACATAATATGTGTGAATGAATGTTATCATAAACCAGCTGCATTTTATGTTATTTAGCCAAGCGACAAAATTTCTGATTACAGGACTGAGTTAAAGGGTCATAAAGGGCAGGTCCACGCATATTTGAGATATCACAAAGTCAAGGGATTATATAGGGCTGGTGTATTTAGTCACACAGAGGAACTTGCTTACAAATGAATGTGATGTCATGTTAACTTATTCCATTCACATTGTAGTGCAAGATTAATTCACCAATTGCATCATTAGCACAATTCTTTTTTCTTTCCAGATTTGGAAGATCACAACAAAAATATTGTCAGATTGTGTTATTATTTTATTACTGCTAGAGAACTGTTCATAATATTCATTCTGCTGGACAGCTTTTGTGATTTCAACTGTTTATAATAATCTAAATTCTCTGCTTCTTTTTCTTTGTGCATAGGTTTTAGGAAATTGCATTCTAAATTAAGGTGATAGCGTAAAATTATTTTCACAGCTCGGAGGCACTGAGGAAGTGGAAGTCTTTGGTTTTTTGCTTCCCCCACCCCTCCAATAAAATATTTGATTTGGCATCATTTCACCACCTAATGAGCCTGCTGTTAGCTTAGACAACTGTTACTTTTCTCCTCCTGCCAAGTTCTAGGATAAGTAAAGAAAATAAATTGCATAATTATCTAGGCATAATCTGTGTAGAAACATCCAATGTCTGTGAAATGTTTCTAATTAGATTTGATGCTGAGATGGCCCAGTTGCATAAGTGGAGGAGAGTGTGCTGCCAAAAGCAAGAATCACTTCGAGAAGCAGGCTGCTTCCAGACATTTGTTTTCTGGAAGCTGCTGTGTTGATACAAGTGGGCATTACTGAAAAGAAGAAATGCAATGATTATAAAGTTCTTCAGCTTTTTATCACACTCGCTTTAATTTTATTACCTGCTGTTATAGGGAAAGACTGAGTGTCATCTGATTTACAGAAAGTGGAGTCTGCTTTCAAAAGAAAAAATATTTGCTGATGTTATGTAGTATTTTAGCTTTATAGAATAGTTTAGTGAAATAGAAAATAACATCGTTTTCAAGTTTACAGTATAAGACAATATGGACAAACCTAATAGAAGTCACAACAGCTGAAGAAAGGAAGGCCATGTGTTTATCACTGATGAAAGGAAGGAAGGAAGGCTCTCCTAAATTACAAGTTTGAAAGTGAGGGAAAATGTAGCAAAGATAGCATTCACCCGAAGGCATTCTGATGTTAACCACCACCTTCTGCCTCCTCCACCTTGCGCTGAATTTTGCGCCTTGCAAAGAAATTTGTGGCAACTCCCAGCTGCTCTAGTGCAAAAGCCCAGCGTGAGGTTTAAACAGCTGATGAAGATTGGTTTGAGCTAAAATGCTGGACTGTGAACTGGAACTTTTGAGAGATAGGCACCTGTTCCTGTATGGAGTCTCTGCTGTGGGGTTGGTGAACAAAAAGAGCTGAACAGACAGCTGGGTGCTGTGACACCGCAGACTACACAGCTTGATTTGGCAGGGCTTGCCAGGCAAAGCCTTAACTCCTGTGAAGCTCTTGTTTTCTAAGTCATGGACTTTGACGTCAGAATGCCCTAAAGTGGTGGGACCAAACAAGTGTTTCTTCACTACCTGAAAATTTGCCTTTAGACTCTTACATGTGTAACTTGAAACATAAACCTGTTGGTGCCTGTGGAATAGCCTCTGGGCTTTTTTGAGGTTAATGAGGACATTTTATTATTCATTCTCATGTTTTCTTCAGATGTTAGACTTCAAAGGGAAAAGATCAGGATAGACCAAGAAAAAGACATGGAAGATAGAAGTAAATAATTTCCAGAGAAGAGTAAATCTTCTTTAACTGAAATTGTTAGTGTCCACAGAATACTTGTAGATGTACTTCCTTGGCAAACAGCTTAATGGCACCCTTAAAGGATGATGCGCTTCACCTATTTATATGTCTTGTCCTACAAGATTGGATATTCCTTGGACAATGTAATATTCATGTCATCTTTTCATTATCCAGGTTATCTTAGACTTGATCCAGTATGAAAACATCGTTGTAAAGAGAGCGTTGAATTTTGATAAGCCTTTTCTTGAGAAACTTGGTATCACCTCAGTCCCTTCATGCTATCTGATGCATCCAAATGGATCCCATGGATTAATTAACATGTGAGTAGTTACCTGGCTGAGGAATATGGAGAGATTCACTTAAGCTATAAAAACAGTTTCCGTAGCTTCCTTTTATACAAAGTAAGTTATTCTGTAACCTTCTTTTGCATATATATAATGACATTGTGTCTTGGCATGTAATCAATGCGTTGTACTGACTGAAATTAGGTGTACCATTTCTTTGTGTTTGAAAATTGCCTGTCTTGAGTGCTCTCTAGCAATTATTAAATCATCTAGTGGTCTTGTTTACTCTTTGTGAGTGCTTCTAATAAACAGGCATGGGTTATGCCAGTGGAAATTAGATTTCATCATATAGCAGGGAAGATTAGCCAAAATGGTGTGGTGGCTAATTATAACCCTTGTGGTGTCGGACTACAATAACAAGTTTATACTGCTGACAAAACTCACTTGTTAAGTAGATGATTTGAAGTAGTGTTTCTAACTGGAAATAAAAGCTCTAAGCCAGTGTTTGTTATATGGATTTTGATATGCTGAGAGCAATGAGCTGGTTGTTCTTAATGAATTATTTAATATCGTTAGCTCTATTTTTTTTAATAAGAGACCTAATATTACTTTTGCTTACCACTGTTGCCTATTTATAGCTTTAACCTATTAGTGTGATACTTCTGAAAGGGAAACACTTTGGAATAAAAGTGGAAAAAAAATTAATAAAACATCACAGTTCTTAAAAAAAATTTGCTTCTAAGTCAAAATACTTGTTCCATGTGAACATTACCTGTGTAAGGCGAACGGACATTTTGATGAACGTGATGTGTTCTTATTTTGAATGGAATTTTAAACCACTAATCCAGATGACTGTTGTTACTATTCCTAAATTAGTCATTATTTCATTTCACTTTGTATCAAAACATAACATGTTGCACTAGGACTGTAAAACACAAACCAAAGTGAATATCTTACTTTATAAATATGCTAATTTGCATAGTCTGAGATTAAAAGTAATCTTTACTTTGTCCATTATATGCAGTTTGAAGCCTCTACGGTCTTTCTTTTCTTCGTATTTAAAGTCACTGCCAGGTGTAAGAAAAAAACTTCTTTTGCCACTTCAGCTACCTGTTCAAGAAAACAAAGAGAAGAGTACAGAAATCAAGGTGTGGAAAGAGTTCGATAAGTAAGTGCCACCCTCAATTTTCAGATCAATGCTTGGTTATAAAAATTTGCTTGCAGTTTTTTCTTGCCACGTGGGAAGTTATGTGTAATTTATAATAAAATTCCGAGTGCAGTTCGAAGTTTTACTTCATTCCATCCCAGGTGATGCACCTTGAGTTGAATAGGTTGGTCATTACTGAATGATCCAAATTTTTCTGCCGAGTAAAATTAAAGGCATTCGTGCTTAATACTGGAGAAGTTATAGCATCGAAGCTGAAAGCAATGCTTTCAGCAGTTGCTTCAACTTCATCCATTTCTCAGTATATTCAGGTAACACTTGTGAATTAGTTCAGTTCCAGCATCAAGGTTACAACTTCTTTATGATCGTGAGCAATGTTTCAAACAATTCAGAGGTGAAATTATTGAGGGCTGCCAGTATTTGGTTTTTAGCAGCAAGGATCTGCACTGCTATGGAAGGAATGTTTTCTCCAAAAGTATTGCCAAACACTTAAATGGCTTAAAAATACCAAGCTCTCATCACCCCCTTACCTGAAGTAAATAGATCACTGATTTGAATTGTTGGAAAACTTCAGCAAGTAATTGGTGTCCCTGAAAGAATAAATAATAAAAGAACAAGCTATAACATTTCTGCAGGAAATGAGAATTCTCTGTGTGTATAATAGCGAAGCAGTGCCCACTAAAAGTGCTTGTCAAATGCAAGTGTAACAGAAAATACTAAAGTCACTGTAAAAGATGTTTATCATACAAAATCCGGTAAGGTTTATCTTCACCCTCTTTCCCTCTTTGTCTGTTCGAAAGAAGGATGCAAAGGCTTTGCAGAGAGATAATCCCTCAGCATCTTTAGATGGAAAAGATGTAGGACTGAGTGCTTTCATTTTGTACTTATTTTCCTTTCATGGACACTATTAGTGTCATCTTCTTTCAGTGACTATTATAAAATATTTTATATGAAACATTCTGTTATCAAAACAACTTAGTTAAAATGAGCTGCTTTCCAGCAAGACAAAATCTTGTTGATGTGAATCTCAAGTCCAAGTATCTTCTAAATAGGATTCTTTGGGGGGAACCTCATGCATTCACATGGATGTCTCTCTATTTAAGAAACGTGAAGCAGAATTTTGCTGTTCTTTTAATTTAAGTGAGTACATTATTAATTAAGGAGATAAATTCAGAGTAAGTCCATAGTTTGAGTTGTTAAGAATATAGATTCTTCTGTATTTTAATATGTTATTTCCTGCATGTTATTTAAGAGGTGGGGCCAGCCAGTTTCTTGGGTGGTTGTTCTTTTAATTCTATTTGGTTTTAGAAAGAATAGTGCTGCTGAACTCTTACAAAAAGTGTTTATTAACTATGTGAACTTCTGCTTGTTTGGTTACATTGCCCTGTATCATACTGTCCAGAGTTTGTACTCTGATAGCTAGGGTGTTTTACTTGATGTATTTGTACTTTGTAAAGTGTTTTTGTTGTTATGAAGATACTTGGTTGTGAGAAGGAACTCTTAAAATTCTTTGATTTGCTTTATGTGTTTTACTCGTATTTTCATAAGGTACCCTAACTCTGTCTTAAGAGCTGGTGTGATTAAAATTGACTGTTAAACTTGATGCAAAGAACCTACAGTAAAGCTACTGCATCTGGGAGAGGATTTCTAGATTCAGTCCTTTCCGACATTGACCTTTTTCAGTCTTGTCTTGTTTGCACTCCTGCTCTGTGTATAATCTACTTTTTTCTAAAGACTGAAAGTCTCCCTTTTTTCATAGCATGTCATTTTTCTATTTGTGGTCAATCCTGAAGAGCAGCTCTAATTTCTTTACACTGGCTATTTTCTTGCTGACAATGTCAGGGTTATAATTTCATTACAAGGTAAAGCTGGCTGGGAGGCAGAAAGTTTAGTCAAAGAAATTCTTGTGTGCGGTTATGCTTCATTTGTCTAAACTCTGAACAAAATGACATAAAGTTACTCTTAAGAGAGAGTACAGTGAAACTCGTTGAACTTGACATTCACCATACCGAGCACCTGAAGTAACTGCTGTGTCTTCCCATACTGGTGTAGGATATACTGCAATCACTGTGGAGTGGCAAATGTTGAGGTTTTAATGACACCTACTATATATCAATTTTACCTTCATGACTGGTGAGAAAATGAGCGAAAGAAACCTGCCGCTTTATAACATTATATATGTGTGTTTCAGATCTAAGCTGTACATGGCTGACCTTGAATCGGGATTGCATTACCTGCTCAGGGTAGAGCTTGCTACGCACAAGACACTTGAGGGAGCTGAGCTAAAGACCTTCAAGGATTTTGTTACCGTCTCTGCCAAGGTATACACTTCTGGTCTTTGATTATTTGTAAGAATAAAGTGACTCTAACATAAAATTTATTATGTGACATAAGTCTCTCAAAATGTCTTTCAGAATGTTTAAATATATGCTTCCTCACTAGCCTAAAAAATAGTTTTATGGGTTTCTTTAAATGTTACTTTTGAGTTATTCTGTGCCGTTCTGACATACTTACATGGTTGAAATGCATTTTAATTTAATCTTAGAGGGCTCGAAATTAAATGAAGCTTAAGTAGTCTGCAGCATATTGAACAAACACTGTAAATATAGTCCATTTATCAGATTTTCAGGATAAGTAGCTGTTGTAACTGAGTGGGATTAAAAAAAACTTTGGTTTTCGTTCTTGACTTTTGGATTTCATTAGTGCATACTTGACAAACGGTGTTCCGTTTAGAGATATTAGTAACTTCTGTCTAAATTTTGAATGTAATTGAGGTATTGAATTTAATTAATTATTTCAAAATAATTGAGGTATTGAGTATAATTGAGTATTTAAAAAATAAAGATGCTTGTGTATTACATTTGAGTGAAGGGACAATACATGTAATATAATGTGATATGACTTGAAAAAAAAAAAAGAAATAATTTAACTTTATAACATCAGCCTACTGAAATGACCAATGTCTCTTTATATTTACTTACTGAGCAGCTAACACTTTGTTTTATTTTAAAGAAAGCGAATCAATATCTGTTTAAGGGAATAATAAGGCCTATATGAACTATTTCCAAATATCTGGATTTATCTGAAAATCAGACAGACAGTTTCTTGCCCCCCCGCAGCCATCAGAGGTCAGCAATCTCTAGCTGGCCTCATTTCTTTAAGAAAGTGTGGTGGTAATCTTTCCATCATATTATCCCTACAACACCCTCTGTTCTTCCTGATGGCTCCTGGCCAGCTGATGTCATTTGCTTCCCTGGCTATTAGTGCAGAAATGGGGAATGCTCTCTTAGTTGCATGCTCATCTGCAGACTGCCATTGTACAAGCAGGGACTGCTGTCCTTTATTCCCATTCTCTTGTCACGCAACACTTTCCTCGTTCTCATTCATGATTCTCAGGTGCTTCTGTTAGGAAACTTTTTATACTATTCTCCTATGTAACAACATTCATAGCGATGATAAATCCTAAGGCACAGAGGTCTCTGGTTCCCTATGTGGAGAATTTTCATTGTTGTAGAATTAGGTTTTTTGGCAGTTAGTGCAGAAGTCCATTGTTTTTTGAATCCTTGATGAGACTGATACCTACCTGAGATACTGTGCAACTATTGTCTTTTAGATAGTAATGCATGATATTCTGGGGCTCCTACAGGAGTGAATATAATTATAGTATGCCATCAGTAGTTCAGGGGCGTGCTGGTTTTTTGCAGACTATTTAAGAGTTGTCTTTGAAAGCAAACAAGGTACAGGGTCCCTTGTGTTAGATATAATACAGACAATTAGCAAAAGGGAGTTCCAGCTGTTAGATTTGCATGGTACCAAGTAAGCAATCTATGAATTAGAGATATTATTGATAGCTGGACAACAGCTGCAGAATGACTACCATATGTATAGCATCTTCTGTCATAAATTGCTTTATGTATTTAATGTAGCAGATACAGGGACTTCATTTCCCCATCTGTAGAAATACTGCTCCCTCCGGAAGGGTACTTAGAGGATGGTATGCATACTCTACTTAATTCTATAGTAATTACAACTATCACTAAAGCAAAACACCATTTCTAGTGTAAAATAATGGCATTACCTCTGATTTATGGTTCCTTCCGCTCATCTGCCAGACTGTGACTTCTTTAAGTGGCAAGTTAAGGAAGTCACTATTTCCGAATCACTTTGGAAATCACTATGACACATATGAAAAGGAAAATGCTCTTCTAGATAACAAACATCACCTATCTTTACAGAAATCTGAACAAATATTTTATAAGAACTAATTTTTGTGATTAATCTTCTAAGAGTGAGAAGGGATTTCGGCTTCTCTGATTCACTTAAGTCTTATGCTCCTTTTTGAGCTATACGCTGAGCTGAATTACCTTAATGGGAAATTCTACATTATCTGTTAGAAGTTGTTCTGTAGCATTTCTGCCTGCTGTTGAGTAACTTTGTTTTACATTTTGTGCATGCAACTTGTTAAATTTTGTAAGCAAGAGTTAGTGTGACATGGCTTTTTATTGAAAGCAGAACAAGTAATTAATTTGCTCATAACAAAAGAAAATCTGAAGTATTTTAAAGACCGGAACAACGCATTTAGATTAAGATAAGTGTCTTGCTGCTAATGAGATTTGTGCTTTAAAATTGGGTATTTTCTTCTTCTTTTTTGTTTTTCCTCAGCTTTTTCCTGGCCGTCAGCCTGTGGTGAAGTTGTTAGAGACCTTGCAAGAGTGGCTGGTGAGCCTTCCATTAGACAAAATCCCTTATGATGCTATCCTAGATCTGGTCAACAACAAAATGCGGGTAAGCTGTTACTAGTTTCCAGCATAAAATACAGCATTAGTAAAGGATAAGATTCTGTATAAATCTAAGACATCACTTACTGATGGTCCCTCAGTCATAATGGAGTTATAAGAAGGTTAAAATGAAAATAAAGTGAAATCATTACCAGAAAAAAAATCCACATGAAGGAATTGAAATGAGAGAATTGCAATGCACAATCCTGTCTCAGTTTTATAATGAGCAAGCAGTCACTAACGTATACGTGTTCCCTAACATCAGCTTAAATGATGCAAGATTCCCAGCGGATATTTTTGAGTTGCTTTTGCTTGCTATGCTTGCTATCAGCAGGATTCTCTTGAAGGTCAGAGTTTAAGCAATGGGAAACTTACCCACTGAAATGGGCATTATTGCTGAAGAGTTTCCCCAAATGCTCTGTAATTTCCTGGCACAGTAAAGATCTTGCTAGGAATCCCACCTCACTTTGGTAATGCAGAGCCCTGTGGTAGGGCCATCTGTGCAGAAGTTAATATGAGTCTTTTTTCCCATGAAATGGGATTGCTATCTGAAATTTGGAAACCTCCTGTGTATTTAGGAAGCAGAGAGATAAATCTCAGAAAACTAAAGTCTTGCACTGGATTTTAGGTATAATGAGTAAGTAGTGGTTTTGTTTTAAGAAGAAATAATAATGAATTCTACATCTTAGCCTGTTAAGACTTTATGACTGTAAGTCATGTAGATCTTACTGAGTAACACGGAATTTTTAATGTGCCCAGGGAAACTGTAGCTCTCAGAGTTTACAGTAGTATTTGTGTGTGTGCATGTTGTGTTCATACTGTGCTTTAAAAAAACTTTGCAAGCTAAGCTACTTAATATATTCTGTCAGACTAATGAGACCTTTGTGATGTGCATTTTAGTAGGTTTGACACGAGTGACTCTACATTGTGTGTCATGTAGTATGTTTGCAAGAGGGATGAGTTTTATAATGGAGCATCAGAGTATCTTCAGACTTAAGGATTGTTATAAGTCTAAAATTTGTTTGCCTTAAGCATGAATTCATTAGCAACAAGTGCAGAGAGAGTAATTTACTATTCTTTGTCCTTGGATCACCTCAAGTTCAAGGTAGGATCAACTGTGACTGCTTCTATGTTCAGTAGTGAATTTAGGTCCCAGAGCTGCGTGTATCTTAAATACGGTTTGGGTTGGGGTTTTTTTTTTCCAGATTTCTGGGATATTTCTCACGAAGAAGGTTCAGTGGGTCGGATGTCAGGGCAGCAGACCAGAGCTGAGAGGTTATACCTGTTCCCTTTGGAAGCTGTTTCATACCCTAACTGTTCAAGCTGCGCTGCGACCGAAAGCTTTGATAAATACAGGTAAGCAACGGTTACATGAGACGCTTGAAGGATGAGACAAATATGTGCAGCAGTTCTGCTGTGCAATAGAAAAAGGAACGAATTAGAGTGAATTTTTTTGTGTGTAAATACTGAACTAATACATTGGTGGAGGAACAGTGGCTTTTGAGGCTTAGCTTTCAGGTTTGTACCAGCAGAGGTCAGAGCATAGCTTTACTGCAGCGGGAAGGCTTTGAAAGAAAGCCTGTCAATTCTTGCTTAGAAATGTGGTAAATAAAGTATGTGGCCCTAAAGATGTGAGCAATAAAGCAGAAAAAGGAGAGAATTTCAAACAAAGAAATTTTGAACTACCTGAAAAGGGGTGAAGATTGTTCAGGTTACCTGAGGTTGCACTGTTAATTTAATTTGAGAAGAATGAGATTTAACTGTATAGTTTAGTAGCTGTAAAAGCTGTACAACCATTAACCAATCCTGGAATTTTATTTCTTAAATACTGAATGTTACGACTGCATTTTTGTCAGCTGAATGTACCTGGTGTCCATTAATCTGTGCAGTGATATACTACTTTGCAAGCACTCTGTAAAATTGCTTATTTTTAGACTTGCAGCATCTTATGAAGCAGAGTGTTAATATTCTGGTGATGATTCCTGTTTAAGAAACATGCTGGATATATAATCTATTTTCCTCGCACAATGGAAATAGGATTACTAATGCTAAAATATTGGCCTTCATATGTTTTTATTCTTGCCAGGACAGTGCTTTGTTTGGTTATAGTTCTATTTAGTTTTCATTTAAGCCTTTTTCATGTCTTTTCCAAGGAATATAAGAATGCTAGATGGAATGTTACTAGATCATAAAGCTCAGAAATTTGCAATTTGTCAGTTGCTGATTGTATGTTTAAAAAAAAAAAAAAATATTTGATTATTTCAAATTATGGATACATACATTTGTCCAGCATTGCTTGCAGCCACGGTGAAAATCTCTCAATTCTTAATATTGAATCTCCTGCAGAATAGGGATGGTTTTTTTGATAGCTAATCATCCTGTTGTTGATTTCGGTTTCTCTCTTTGTTTTGTCTTGTTCGTTATTCATGGGACAGTATGTTGAATCCCTTTAATTTAGTACTGGGCTCTGCCTGGTGAGTTTGGCGGGGTTTTGTACTGGATGATATATTAGCTGTTCAACAGGATCACGCCTAAGTTGAAATTTCCCCTTTCTGTCCCAATTGCCGAAAGTGTTCTAATTAAAACTGTTCTTAATATTTAACTGTACAAAATTGCATCTTGAATTCCTCCCATGTTTCAAGCGTGAGCTCTAGTCAGTCTCAAGTTAAAAATACATTGTAGAACCTGAAAACTCTTTGGCACACTTAACCATCGATTTAAATCGGGACAGATATGTGATGATCACTTCTTATGGTGAAAGAATTGGGTCAGTCTGAGACTGTCGGATTATGTCTTGGGAGGTTTTCCTCTCCTTATTGCTTGTTTAAATCCCATCTACTAAAAAGCATGATGTACTCCCTAATCCTTGCCACCACAGGTAGGGTTTTATGGTTCTTGTCCACTTTAAAGATTAGGGTTACCCTGAATTGCAGTAGTTTGGGAGGAAAGAGAAAAGGAGGATTACATGATGATACATGGCAGATGTTAATAGAAGATTCATCTCTGGACTGATAAAAGAAAAACAAACAAAATGAGCCATTTTGCAATTGTTTGCTTTCTTTTTGAAGCAGCTGTATTTTTCTTGATAGTTTCCTCTGCTTGCAGAGTCTGGCAGTCAGTGTGAGCTTGCTATGGCTTTCTTGATATGACGTTTTTATTGGTTTATATTTGACACATTTTAATGTTGAATGGTGTAATTTGAACCTGCAGTGGGATCGGCATAAGGGAATCCAAAGGAACTCCAAACAGAACTGCTCACATCTGAGGATGTATAAAATCACTGTGGAAATCTAGTCCTGAGCACGCTTAATTATATGAAATGAGTTTTTTAGGTAATAGGATCTATTGGCGTGAATAAGACAGGCTTGTGGATTTTATTAAAAAAAAAAAAAAATCTGGATTCTTTTTAATCTGTTGCTGAATTTGAAAGACCTCCCCACAAAATGAATTTTCAAAAGCGTACCATTATGCAGGAGGACAGATATAATTAAATTTGTGTATGAATCTCTGTTCCTCCATAAAAAGGTTATTTGCTAGTAGTTAGTTTTGTTGTGTTTGTTGTTGATTTTTTTCTAAATATATATTTTAGTATACGTGGTAAAACTGTTCTGCCTGAAATTCGTTTCAACTCTCCAAAATTATTTTTCAGCCTTTCTTTTAATACTGTAATTTAATCTGCTTTAATCTCATAGCTTTTTTATTTATACATGCCCATTCAATCACAGATATTGAGTGTCTGAGTAGAGATTGTTTGCTTTTTATGATTTCTTTTTGGCTTTAAAGACTTTTTTTTGCTGCCATGTTTAAGAATATAACGTTGTTGTTCTAAAGGAAGGTGTTTATGACAGTCTTCATGCATTTCTTATATACATAACAGATAAGTACTCTGATAGTTTTGAATAGGTTTTGTTGAAGATTTTTTTTTTCAAAAAACAATGCACGTACGGAGGGCATATGTGCTACCAAACTGTTTGTTATTCACTACCAGAATAGGACAGTGAGCAAAGCACCGTAACCCTTTACTACAGAACCTACAAAACCTGCATTGTAAATTACTCGTGGTGGAGGTGTTCAACTGCAGGAGTCGGTAATTTGATCAATCTGCATCATAAAATGTGTTTCGTTTGACAAGCCTGTGTTTGTGATAACGTATAGTACATCTGTAAATACATTTTGGCACAATTTACTAGGTCAATTAAGCATGAATCAGAAAATCTGTGAGACAGAGATGAAACCATTAGGATTTCAACGCATTATATCAGGTTTTCGAGCCACTTACAGAGGTAGGGACTGCCTGCTGTCACAGTAAAGGCCCAGGACAAAGTTCTCTGTCTGTAAAGACCTTAGCTTACTTCTGAATAAAATAATGATTCTTTTGCGTTATCTTTAGTGTGAATGTTATAGAAAGAATAATGTGTTTGTATTTATTTTGGAAGGAATTCCTGAGTTACTCTTGAAAGTTCAAATGTTGCTAAGTGGCTGTTACGTGTGTGCGTTCAGTGCCTGCCAAAAAAGCCGTGGAATTAATAACTGTAATGAGATTCTGGTATTCTGTAATACCTCAGAGGTATGGAGTGAAAAACAGATATCGCAGGCACCTCGTGAAATACTTATCAGAGGGTTTTTGACTCTTGGTTTTTCAGTAGCAAGGTCACCATAACATTAGTGCCTGAGCATAAATGTAATGGTGAATGCGTAACATAAATATTCCTTTTGTTATTGGGCAAGATAGTGGATAAAGTCTCTACTTGCAGAAGAATTGTGTGAAATATAGGCAGCGTGGACTTCGCATGTTTTAACAGTTTCAAAATGTACTCTGATAACGGGCTTCTGGAAAAAAAAAAAAAAAAGTCTGTTTTTCATTTAGCTAAGTTTGTTCCTGCCTCAAATTGTAAGACATTCTTTGAAAGGAGAAATTTCACTGTGAAGAACACTTGACCTTTAACTCTTATTTTAACATGTTGTTCAGGGTAACTTTGAACACAATTGTATAGACGAAATCTGTTAGTATGTATTGGTATAAATAGCTTCTTTGCGTTTTTAATGACACTGTTGCTCACCTAGCATTTTTTGAACCTCAGTGTGTTTGAAATAATTCCCTTGTAGTTGTGTCTGATACTCCAGACAACCCTTGAAAACAGTATGTTTTGAAATGTGCTGTTTGAGATCACTTTAAACTCTACATTATTTATTGCCAAGTAATTTGGTTTCTAAATGTCTCACCTCAGCTACTTAGTGACAATATTACATGTGTATTTTGTTGGGGAGGGGTATTTCTTCTAAGAGATGTGTGAAGCTTTTAACCCCTCTGTCTTTGTGACTTGCTGAGTTATAGGTTCTGTATGATGGCACATGTGCTATGGATCCCTTTAAATTATAAAAGGGTCTAGTTTCTTATCTCAAAAGTGGAGGTGTAAATTTGCATGGAACAAGAAGGTAGCAACATTTCCTTTCCTTTTCCCACGGTTCACTTTTATGTATGTTAAAGTGCCTGTGTTGAAGCTACGTTTGTCCGGATGGTGCTAAATGCGTCTATCATCTGTCTTCCTAGGTCTTGAAGACAGCCCCCAAATAGTACTTCAGATCATGCGGAGATACATTCACCACTTTTTTGGCTGCAAGGCTTGCGCTCAGCATTTTGAAGAAATGGCTAAAGAGTCCATGGATTCTGTTAAAACCTTGGACGAGGCTATTCTCTGGCTCTGGGAGAAACACAACGTGGTGAATAACAGGCTCGCAGGTATGGAAGACCTTGCTTAGGAAAACCCACCAAAGGTGGCCGAAAGCTGTGTCTGAAAGACAGGGCTATGATGGCATTTTATACAACCTGGTTTGTGTTTGAACAAAGATACGCAAATTAGGCTCTGTAACATGAGTTTGGAAACAACAGTAGCAGTTGTTCCAGCTCGACATTCCTTTATTAAATACTGACTTCGAAAGACTAACTCCACATTGTACACATTGGTGTACAAGGGTACTTGTGTATAGAGCAAAACCTAGAGCATCCCAATCAACTGGAACTCTAAAGACCAACACGCTAACCTTGGCGTGAGTGAGAAATACACACTTGGGATACACTGTCCTCCAGCAACATGGTTATCTCGTATGATACGTAATGAAAAAACATCACCATTCTCAAAAATATTGTTTCTTCTGAGATTTCACCTGTTGCTCGATGAGAGGATCTTTCTGGAGTACAAATCAAAGCCTTTTCAAAAAGGAGCAATACGGCTCAGCTACTGATCAGTGGATAAAAAATAATTAAATTTCTTTCTGTAACAGTTTAAATAGATGTTAAAACCTGTCTTCATTTTGTTCTGGAGAGATGCTGTATAGAAAATGATGATAATTGAACAGGAGACTTTCTCAGGATAAAAGAGCCGAAACTATTAGCAGATCAGCAACTGCATAAAATAAAATTACTGTATGAAGAAAATCTGTTCCCCCACTAGATTGCTATGTTTTCAGTTAGACTAAAAGTACTGTTAAAATACTCATTGTATTTAATCCGTTCTGTTACGAGGATATCAAGTAACTAAAGCACTAAAGAAAATTGGTTTCTGTTTGCACTTAATCTCTGTCTGCTGTTATGGATCTGTGTAATGTAGCATTAGTTACAATTTAAATATGCTATATTGTGTTTATATTATGGTTATGCTGAATTCCCAAGATTTATGAAGTATTAAATACTGTTGTGAGCATAAACAGTTTGTCTCCTTTCTCCAAGGAGAAAAAAGTAAATGATGAGGTATTAAATAAAAACATCCCCTAATGTTTGTTACTATTGCCAGGTTGAACACCGGGAAAAAAAGTCGTCTTCTTAACTTGAAGTTGCTAAGTAGGGGAGCAATATACTTATTTAGAACATTAAGTTATTGGAAAACGCGCATGGATATTGATTTAGATGATGCAACAGCCGGCTAAAATACCCTTTTAGTAAGAGGTATAAACATACTGGAATAAATAATAATATTAAATTACGCTTTTTAAGTTTACTAAAATTTCTCTTTGGGACAGTGACTTATTGTAATTCCTAAAAGCTGCATCTGTATTTCTGGTAATATATATAGCTTTCAATGAGAAATAATGTTTGACCGGTCAATGAAAACACCTTGGCACAGCCTTCAAGTGCGGGTCATGAGATTGTTGTATATGGCTTTGCCCTATTTAATTCTTTCCTGTTGCTTTAGAATGTGCAGAATTTATAGCATTCTTCTTTTTGGCAGGAAAACATGAAGTATAGCAAGTTTTCTGTTTGTAATCTTACCATAAGATGTTTCTACTTTCTCTACTGAAACAAATTGATTACTGAGTGATCTTTAAAGAAAGATATCTGAAATGCAAGCTTGCTCTTACTTGTAAATAACAGGAAGTCAAATATTTTTTAGCACTCTTTGAATCCCTAAACAATATTTTGCTCAAAATCGTAGGGAAGTTTCCTGCCTCTAAAAAGGATAAAAATAATAATAAAATAAGACTCTATATTTATTTCTGAAGCATTAGTGTACTAGTAACAATCAGATAAATAGATGAGCTTTTTTTTTTACCAGGTGGAGATTTTCGTTCTAAAAATGATCTCCAGCCATGTTTTAAAATGTTATTTTTTCAGAGCAAAGTGCAACACTAGCTGCAGTGTTCAGCTCTTTGCCATCAAGACAGAAAGGTGGCCAGAGCTATGAGCAACTGAAATGTTAAAATTGGCTCTCGTTCAAGACAGCGTTATATGTTTAAATGCTAAAAAGCAAGCTGAAAAATACATCTTAAATATGATAATGGTTTTTAAAGTACTGAAAATAGTTTGCTATAGTAATAATGCAAGCTATGAAAAAGCAAGCTGAGGATGGAATGGTTCACGATATAGAAACATGAAAATATCTGCAAGTCTTTGGCCTTGAAACTGCTTGCTGCAAACCAGGCTTCAGGATTAAAGAGTATTGAGTGCAAAAGAGCAGTTTGTTTTGAATTCAGTAATTCAAGTTAACCCCTGAAAGGCCCAGATGGTGATGTTTTCGTGCCTTCTAAAAACGTAGCAATTGTCATATCTCGTTGTGTTAGAATTTGAATGCTACAGCTTTTGCTGAGAGAAAAGGAAAATAATTATGATTTAGTGTTTGTATTTTGAAAGAGGAAGCAATGCTTCAGAACATAAGTGATGCATCCATAAGGAAACTTCTGAATTTCCAAATTTGTTCATGGTTGTCTTCAATCAAGTTTAATACAAACATTGTTGTGCTGTGGGCTTTTTTTGCCAGCCTCCCTCTTTATAAGTGGAAAATGCTCTCTGTGGTTTCCAGTGAAGTGTCTGATGGTTCAGCTTTCCTAGTTCATTCACTTCTGATATTTTTTTTTTTTTCCTCCTCCCAATTAGGTGATTTGACTGAAGATCCAAAATTTCCCAAAGTTCAGTGGCCAACTCCAGACATTTGTCCTGCATGTCATGAAGAAATTAAAGGATTACACAGCTGGAATGAAGCCCAAGTTCTACAGTTCATGAAGTATCACTATAACAGTGAAAATATTCTATATAAATACGCTGAAAGCCAGACTGACTCCAGTGAAACTGAGCAGGGAGATACAAGGGAGGTGAAAGACAAAAGTCTACTGAAGAAACCAAGTGGGAACAAAGAAAATAAGATCCAGGATAAAGAAAACGTACCAGATTCAGAACCTAAGGTGTTAGATAAGCTAATAGCAAATCATGGACCTGTCAAAGATAGCGGTAAAAGCGCAGCTGGATCAGCTAACTTTAAAGAGATGAAGCAGGCCGTGTCTTTCTTAGGGATTGGATTTTCAAACATAGACATGAGTCTGTGTGTCATACTATATGTAGCATCATCCTTATTTTTAATGATCATGTACTTTTTTTTCCGAATGAGATCTAAGCGGTGGAAAGTGAAGTATTATCGTTCATCTGTATAGCAGGTTAAATCGGAAACAGAGTTTTCATTGTACGTGGCTGTTCAGTACCAGATGCAGCTTTAATATTTATGATCAGGGATTTTATATACAGTATTCCTTGTTTAAAACCCCTTTCTTCCCAAGTCATTTCACAAGTGTTCTAGCTTAATATACAGAGCTCGCTGTTAAGAACCCTAATCTTTAACTGAGGCACATAGTGCTATCATAAAATGTCCGCTGAAGTAGGCGTTGCATTTTTCAGTTAAGATTTTTCCGTGACTTACCACCTATATCCTTTACTCATTTTCAGAGTAAACATTACATTCTGCAATCAACTGTGCCTGGTTTTAGAAGGAAATTGGATATTGTTTTGTATACTTCAAGTCAGTTGTGGGTTTTGGTTTGGTTTTTTTTATTTATCCAGAGCTGATTTTACCTACCAGAGTACTGAACGGTTATGCTGTTACCTTGGCTGCTTCATTTGGAGAAGCAAGAATTCTGATTTTTTTTTTAATTTTTTTTTTTTTTTGAAACGAGTTCTATTCTGATTAAATCAATTCTGAACCTATGTGACTTTCTCAAATACTACTTACACTTCATATTTAAAGTAGAAAGCATTATGTGTTCAAATAAGTCTTCCGTTCTCCTGTGCGTTCCAGCCAAGGATGTGTATGGCTCTGCCAGGATGAGAGTTTTGGGGCAGTTTGTATCTCGATAAGTGGCCTGATTCTGATTGCTAATGCTGTCATCTATTTTAATGGAGTTTAGATGTAAGCAAGGACGGACTTGGACCCAGTGCTTTACTTGCTCCCTTATTGGATGCGTTGATGGAGCGTTAGATGACTCGACTCACTCATTTATGAACCAGAAAAGTAGCTGAGCAATTATTGTGTTATCCAGATGGAAGCCAATTCTGATGAACTCCAGTAAAGGGAAATGGTGTTTTTAGTGAAGGACATTGAGATTTGCATCAGCATGCCAGAACAAATGTACGGATCTGGAAATACTAAATTTCTTACGATGTTGGATAACTCCGTTACAATACAGTAATTTTTCTTCTTGTAAGGTGGGGCAAACACTTGGTGTTTCCAGTTCTGAGCTCGCAGAGAGTAGCGCCCGCTCGCTGTAGAGTTGTCTGTACAGTACTCAGAAGAACACAGCCCCTTCCTCTTGCCCTTCTGCTGGAGTGCTCCTCTGTTTGGGCCAAGAAGGGTTTGGCTAATTGGTAAGTCCGAGAGCTGCTCCGTTCTGGGACGTGGCAGCAGTTGGGAACCTGGCAGTTGCCTTTACAGATCTGGCTGGCTGGCTGGGGTCCTGGCTGGCAGCAATTAGAAGAAACCATGAAAACAGTTATAAATTTACCATTTGGAATAGGAGTTCCTTTCTGATCCTAGCTGGGGGGGATAATTCACGTCCTGGATAGTGAAGTTTATAATCCTATCCAATGTAATTGAGCATGTTCTAGTTATCCATTACCTAATCTTTAGTTAATCCTAATAGGTTTTGGCCTCAATGTTTTCTTGTGGCAGTGAGTTCTACAGATTAATTATGTTATATAAAAAGGCTTTTCCTTTCAATTCTACATTTGCAACTTTTAATTTAATTGAACGTTCGCTAGCTCTTCTGTTACACGAGAAGGAATAAATAGTCCCTGGCTAATTCATTGCATTTACACTGTTAGCGTGTCCTCCTCTTGTTTCCATCGTAAGCCCTAGCATAAAAAGTTTAAAGCCTAGCAACAAGAATGGTCTAAAAGCACAAAATCTCAACAGGGATATTTTTTTCATAATCAAATCTTGTTTGTTCGCAAAACTGAACATTTCTGACACGAGTGTCCGCAGCTTCCAATTGGAATAACAAAACTAAGCTTCGAAGATTTACTGTCCCTTGTTCCCCAAGTTTATCAAAATAACATACACATAAAGTAATAACCTTCCGTGGTTATTGTAAACGTATGTCAGAGGAAAAAAATCTCCATCCACATGACACTGTTGGTCTGAGGTACATAAAGAGGTGCATTATCTGTGGTTTTCTTAAGCCATCTTCACTGTTTACTGTATGCACCCGATGGCTCTTGCTCTAACATGAGAAACTTGACTCCAGGCTCTCTCCATGAAGCTGGAAGCCGGCTCCTGCCTTCTGCCGCACGCCGCCTCCACGGAGCCGAGAGCTGCTGGGAGCGCCCGCGGACAACTGTGTCTGCCTGTGGTCCAACAGGAAAGCGTCTCTCCTTAGCGGCGCAGGCTTAATGTCAAAATTCAGTCAGTCTGTGCTTTTTAAGGACGCTCGCTGTTCCAGAGTTCTGGCACAAGGAGCCATCACGGGTCTCTCTTGTCTTTGGAATTCATAGGAGTCCCTATAATTATCCTTATAGCACCTGGGCTTGAATATTGAAACAACTTGTGAGTAACGGGGAAGGCAGAGAACCAGCGGCGGAAGGTTGGTTAAGAGGAAAGCCCAGAGTTTCCAAATTTCCTTTTGAAAATCGGGCAACTTTTACGTGACCTAATCTGGGGAGATGTTGATACCAACCAAGAAGCAAGGACATTTAGCTTCTTAAAGAAACCGCAGCAATGCAAGTATTGGATCTGAAAAACGTGGCCAGTTTCTGTGGGACTGCAGAATTTCCTCCTGTCAGTATTGTTGCACGTTTTGAAGTTGAAAATCAGTCATTACTGCTGCTGTTCAGAACTCTACCAAATATATAGACCTGAGTTTGTTAGCTTTGACTCGTCCGCTTATTTTCATCTGCATGTGGAAACAAAAGGCTTTGAGGGTTTGTAGGGACGGTTTTGCCATTAAAACAGCAGAAAATGTGGTTTTGGAATAGGGTTTGGTGGTTTTTAGGTGGTGGTTGGGTTTTTTTGCTACACACTGTTAACTTTCGTGTTGCTGGAAACGACAAAATGAACCAAAACTCAAACTTCCAATGGTTTTTTTTGTTGTTGTTTCTTAAAGAGTGTAAAAGCATGAAATGAGGATGTTGATTATCCATGTCAGTACTCTAACTCTGTTGCCAGCTACCTGGCTTTCACTTTAAGTGCTAGTAGTGAACTCATCTGGAAAAGTTTTCTTGACTTTGAATTCAGTTGTGTAAATCTTGGTTTGCTTGTTCTTATTTTCTGTCTTTGTACTGACAAATTATATCCTTCTATGTACGCTGACTGTAAAGATACGTCTGCTGGGGAACGTGTGGTGCTGCTTTGCCGTGGTGCGTTAGTGGTGGGTGAGTTCCAAGAAAGTGTTTCCTTTTTAAAAATCGCCTCTGTGCCGGAGGTTTTATTTGCGTATCGTGTTGTACCGCAGAAGTTTCTGCAATGCCACGTTCGTCTGCGGATCGTACTGTACTGGTGGCAGTCATTGCCGGGAAGGACCTCTTGGCCCTTTGGAATTCATGGAGCCGCCTGTGCTCTTCAGATGGTTTTAAAGAGGACATATTAAACCCGCGTAGAAAATAAAAGGAGTACTGTGGAACATGCCAGGAGAAAAGCTGCAAGTGCTAAAGAAACCGTATTAAATTATTCCTGAGAACTCTTAATTTTTGATTTCCAGCAGCGTATCCATCCTGCTCAGAACTGGATGGGAACTGCCATCTTAACCAGAAGTCCAAGGTGTGTTGTCTATGTCTGTGCATTGCATACGAGGTGTTGAAAATGGTGAATAAAACAGTTCAGTAATTTAAGTGGTTTATTTATTTTAATTCAGTAACTTGACATTTTTGAGTCTCTTCGGTTTTTTTTTTTTTTTTTTTTTTACTCAGTCTCATACCTCTCTAGGAAGAAAAAGTGAGCGTTTTGTACTAAATTGTAAACTAATGTGTTTGTTTAAAATAAATTGCGAACATTTGGGCAAAGTGGCGCGTTTTGGCTTTTTACTTGTATTTTCAGGTTCTTTTTAGCTAAACTGTATTGCAAGGATAGCTTGCATACACGTCCATTTCAAACCACACTGGCCATTTAATTTTGAAAAGTACCAGAAACAGGTAAACCTTTACTCCATTTCTTTCACTGTTACCCCACAACTTTATAAAACATCAGTGAATGTTTGCAGAAGCGATGGAAAAATTGTCGCTTTCTGACCAATTATTTGCACATTCTCTCTCTACGCGCACATACACAAGTCTCCCTTTCCCTTAAACCTGAGCAGCTCTTCTTTGGCCGGGCCGGTGCTAACCTCCCCTGCGTGCTTCCGAATCTTCCTGCAGCTCCGGCACCCACGGTGCCGCTGAGGAGGCGAGCTGGGTGACTTGTTAAAAATACTGATTATCGACCTGCAGAAGTACTCCAAGGTATTTTTAGAAATCAGTAAGATTTCTAAACCTGTAGATAAGGTTCTTTGAAGCTTGGCACTGCAACCCACTTCTCCAGGGAGCTGTGGCTTTCCTTGCTGGCCTGTGATTTTGCCTGGAAAACGGCGACATTCCCCTGGGGAGCCTGCAGTATGGGCTCATCGCCTAAACGTCTTGAGGGCGAACGCAGACGTGGTCCCTGCTGGGGCAGGGTTCAGAGTGCCTGCTCCTTACCACCCAAAGTTAATCCATCTGCTACCTCGTTTTAAAGAGGTGCTGGGGGTTGTCCGGGGAGCTCGCTGCAGGATCCCATGCTGTGTTGTCAACGGGGGGGACACGAGGGCTGTTGTACGCCAGCCGGCACAAGTTCCTTGGAAGGACGGCGCAGCCTTTGGGTCTGTCTGCAGAAGGGGACGGGGAGGGGAATGTGGTTGAGCCCAGACTTCTCAGGGGCTGCTAAGTGATCTGAACCCAGGGAAGACAGAGGACAACCAGGAATAAATATATGGTTTGCTTATGGTTTGGTTTTTTGGGTTTTTTAATGGTGGCAGAACCACAGCGAGGAAGACTACGGGCAGAGTCTGATGCCTGCTACAACCTGAGCACGAGGGCACACGAGCGTGGCACGGAGATCATGCAAAGGGGCTTCT